TGCTAGAAAGGTACGTATCTCACAAACATTTCCGAAATGATTAATAAAATTTCTCGTGTTTTATTTTGAGCTTCAAGCAAAGGATAAGTTTAAAAAGTCGCCGCTGGTTGTTGTCAAGTCGCTTTTTTATATAGACTAGTCATATAACTCGGCTTTGAGCGATAGAAATCGTTCGAAACCACGTTGTTTATAGATTTTTGCGGGTCATTTCAGTGCGTCTTGTCTTGATGTTTAGTTTAGGCTCTTAGAGTCATAACACTTGCACCGTGAAATATGATCAAAATAAACAGTACATATTAGTGTCTATTTATTGACTAATAGTAGATATTACTGAACCAGAACACAGTTCATTAAAACAAAAGGCAATACACAGAAGACTTGACAACTACCATCTTTATTTCATGTACAATCAAGACAAAAGACATGCACATCTAGATCTAAAATAACCACACAATACGCAAGGAAACGCGTTTAACGAATCTTTATTTATTTGCGCTGCTGCAGAATCAAGACACAAGACAAATCTAAAGCTAAAATAACCACACAAGACTAAATAAAACGCGTTTGGAATCTTTATTCTCTGCGCCGCAGCAAAATTAAGATAGAAGACATTGTAAGGCTAAATTGAAAATACTGTAACAATATCAAACCCAGTACGCAAATGAACGTGTTTTCTAACGAGTTTATTATAAGGGCCTTAACTAAAAATCAAGACAAGACGCACTGAAATGACCCGCAAAAATCTATAAACAACGTGGTTTCGAACGAATTCTATCGCTCAAAGCTGAGTTATTTGACTAGTCAATATAAAAAAGCGACTTGACAACAACCAGCGGCGACGTTTAAACTATATTCATCCTTTGCTTGAAGCTCAAAATAAAACACAATAAATTTTATTAATCATTTCGGAATTGTTAGTGAGATACGTACCTTTTGAGCATGGGACATTAGTTACCAAATCATTATTTCAAGCAGCACTCGTAACAGTTATAAAGTTAGTTACTATAGCTATCTATTTCACTTTCACCATCAACTATAGGGCAATTCTTTTTATGTCCTTTCAATAAACTCGATTTCCATGAAGCCTACATTTAACACCAAGCTCTAGCCCTTCCCGACATCTTTCTTCTGGGTTTAACAAAGAACTAAACCAGCTCTTTGTTTCTTTCCTTGTGGGTGGGACATATTTTAACAAATTCCTCCTTCTTCATTAGGTAGCTTTTAATAACACTGTTTGGCTTCCAAGTCTCTTGTGTATTACCTTTTGTTTKTAASAATTGTTKTGGTTCAGTGATATCTACTRTTWYATRCAATGAGTCAGTAAATAAAAACTAATAGTTACTACTTCTTTGATTTTGTTTCACGGTGCAAGTGTGATGACTCTATAATATACTCGTTGCGTACTGGGTGT